CTTCTTCTTTAATCGCGATCGGATGGTGCAGATCAAACGTGATGGATGACCTAGATCAAAAGCAGACGGATATAAATAACCCCCCCCCCCCCCCCCCATCTACACCAAACCTTAACTCTAGCTGCAAGATCCCCTCGCCGGAGAAGAAGACCCAACCGTCGGGAAGGAGACTGCTGCCACCCATAGCCGCACCGGAGCCCTTTCCGACCGTTAAAAGAGGTAAAATTTCTTCTTTTAATAGGAATTCAATTCTAAACACACCCATGATCAAATCGGAGCAAAATGACCGGCCAAGTGACCGAAAAACATAGGCGAAATCCGGCAGTGCCGTCGTAGAGAATTTCACAAAATGCTTCTGATCAGGCCCTTCCCGATTCCCCTTATGTATAATTTTTTCACCGTTGTGATCCCCGTGTCATTCTCTATAGATTGACCGAAGTAAAACATCCAACCCCAGCGTGAGCCGGAGGAGCCGCCGCACCGGAGCGCCCTGCCACCGATAAGTTTCGATTTTTTAGATTTTTTCGGCCAACTGAGGTCCCTCAACATATTTTCTTGTAGGGATTGATGCAAAGTCGACCGAAAACTGCCAACCCAAGGTGGACTGCCGTCGCAGGCAGCGGCACTGTCATCGGAGTATGGCAGAGCCATCGTGCCAGAATTTCTGAAATTGGTCAATGAGCCATGGGATTGATTTTGGGTTTGTTTGGGACATTTGCAGGTACTATTAGTGCGTTTTAATTTCTGAAAAAAAATTCAGGGAACCCGGGAACTGACCGTAGGCACAGTCGAACAGTGTAGCTTTTCAGACATTGAATTGAGTAAGGATCCATCACCCTATTCCCTATCATAGAGCTGAAGTTTAAATAAATAATAATATGATATTTCGTATAAATTTAGAAAATGTGCATAATTAATTATGGATTGCTAATGGAGACAAAACCGAAAATTCTCTACTGTTGTTTTATTGATTGTTTTACAATTTAAATGCATAGTAGTACCTTATTAATTAATTTTATGGCTTTGAATGTATGTATGGTTTATTCTATGTGTTTACTGTTGAATCCAAAAAAATGCAGGTTAAACGGTAAAAATTGTATGATGAAATAAATAGATGAAACAACAGCTTTACTGGATATCCTGAGAGATGGTGGACGGACCGGGTACATAGGGAACCCTACCGTGAACGTTGTCTCATACCGGATGGGGTAGATACTTGATAATTTGGTGCTCATACCGGACGAGATATGAGGACGACCCGCTTTACCTTCATACCTGACGAGGTATTGAGGTTTAGTAAATTGGTACTCATACCGGATGAGGTATGGGGACGACCCGTTATTTGAAAATATTAAATAAAAGGGTTTATGTGTAGTGGGGACATCCCTATGAACCCCTATAGATACCAGCAGGCTGGTAAAAAGAGTGATAATTATTGTAGATTTATTGATGATGGATATAGATTTATAATATGTGCTATGATTGCTAATTATACATAGAATCATGATTTGTATAATATTATTGTCTGTATAGATTGTTTTTATGAATCCCACTACGGTAAGTGAACGACAAATAATTTTTATGATCGATAAATGAATTTGTCAATTTAGTGCTCAATTAGTATTTTTTGATTTTGTACCAATCTTTACTTCTGTGTCGGTGATATAGTGTGACATCCTTATTGGATTAGTGTAACTCACCCCTTATTTAACCATTTCAGATCAAGAGAACTAGATTCCAAAGTTCGATCCGCAAGAGGATTGCGAGTATATGCTAGTTTTCTTTATTTTTCGTTCAATTCCTTATTTCTTGTATTTATTTCAAGAGAGTGAATTTTGTAACACTATTTGGTACTTTAAGTTATTGTGTAAGAAATGTAAACCTTGAACTCTTATTACGCTTCGGCACTTAATTTATAACTTATTTCATTTGATATTTCTGGGGTCTCTACAATTTAACATACTCATAAGATTGACTTACGCACTTTTAATTTTGTTTTAGTAATCTTCTTATATTATAGTTACATGATATGTTAATTTATTTACATCCTTTAATACTTTATTTTGCATTTTACTCCACGACCAAAGGTGGATTAGTCATGGGTGACATGTTTTGGCAAAATTTTTATTTTTGGATGTACTCCTTCCAAGATGCATACAAGGTAGTATCTAGGGAAATCCATC